CTTATTTTTCACATAGTCATGGAGCTGCACAACCTTCAGCACAATCTAATTTGTATTAGAACATTGCTGTCACTTTGGCACTTCCATAGTCAGTAACAGGCACTTTCCGGTCCCCCATCTCCTCAAACTGCTCAATCCAAAGGCATCATTAATTCTCTGTCACTTGCCTACTGTAGACATTTCATATAAGTGGAGCCCTAAAAATGTGGCTTTTATGTTTGGCTTTATTCACATAGTGCAATGTTTGCAAGATTCATCTGTGTTTTAACCTGTACTATATTCCCTTTAATTGAGAAAGAATATTCTGTTGTAAGGCTAAAGAGTGCATTTCCTATCAGCTAATCAGTCAATGGGCATTTGGGTTATTTCCACTTTCTGATTTTTAACAAATAACACTACTAAAATTTTAGAGAAAAGTTGAAATTGTAGACATATGCTTTCATTTCTTGGGAGTATATATCTAGGTATGGAATTTCTAGGCCAAATGGTAACTTCACATTATATAAGTTTGTGAGGAACAGCCAGGCTGTTTCCCAAAGCAGCTGTACTATTTTATATTTCCACCAGCACTGCATGAATGTCCTGGATTTCTCTACATTCTTGCCAATATTTATTATTATCTGACTTCTAAAAAGAAATCACAGCCATCCTAGTGACTATGAAGTGGGAACTCTGATTTTAATTTGCATTTCCCCGATGGTTACTGATGTTGAGCATTGTTCATTTGCTTCTTGGTTATTTGTATATCTTCTTCAAAGAAATGTCTCTTCAAATCCTCTGCTCATTTTTCAATTGTTATTTATCTTTGTGTTATTGAGTTATGAAAGTGAAAATGATTCATGTTTATAGAGGAATTATTTCTGGAGTGGAACTCTTCTGGGTAGTTCTTATAATTGCTTTTAACTTTAATTACAGAGGGGCTATGCTCCTCTATCTTGGAATGCAACTTACAAAGATTTCCTTTATCTAATAATTATGGTGGGAGTTTGAGGCATTAGAACTTCTTTGCGGAAGAAGACAGTTCAAGGTGACCCAATAATATATAACACAAGATGTTTGCCCTATTTGGCATTAGTCTTGGGAATGGATAGAAGCATTCAGCCTACATTTGTCAGGAAGTTATGAGGAAAAAAAAAACAAGATCATGATTTTTCTGAATTTACATTTTTCTCTAAAGGGATACTTCACAGCACGGTTCTGTTTATTACAAAGAGCTAAACACTGAGTTACACCATTATATTATGTGTATTTACATATAATGCAGAACCTGAAATAAATTTAAGGGGGCTGGTATATATTATTTTAAAAACTGTGCCATAGCAGTAGCATTTAAAATTCTAAACTTTCCAGAAAGATAAGCCTAGTTTATAATTTTCTCTATGCTTTGCCCTTTCTTAAATGTATAGTTTCAAGTTTGCTTGGTATCAAAGTTGAAACATCTGTTTCTTTTGTTTATGCCAACAGTTCTCACAAGCATTTAGGCTTTCACAGGAAATGTTCATGCAGATGCCAACCAGTTGTGGGCAATTAGTTATGTAAGCTCCAAGCAAGCTGAGCCTGTGTGTACTTACAGACAAACATTTCCATCCCACCTACAGGTCTCCTTCCTTTATCTTTTTATCACCAATTTGTAATTAAGTCTCTCTACTGCATCTTGAGCAGTGTTTTGTGGTATGAATAAGATTCTCAGAAGGGCTGAAAATATGTGTAATTTTGAAGTCCCTCAACCACTCATTTGGTAGATTTGACTAGACAATGGATTTCTGTGGGTGTTCTCCAGCATTGACGAATACATTAAAACACACACACACACACACACACACACACACACACACACACAACCAAACCCTGGACTCAGCAGCTACACAAATCCCTGCCAGGGTAGCATTTTCTTATGTGGAATCAGATCCTAGGTTAACTACGCATTGCACCATTTTTACTACAATGAGGAGACCTCAGCTTCTCCTATTGCAAAAACCTCAGGGTATCTTAAATAAAAATACATTTGCAATGCAAACAGTTTATTTGCCTCACATTTGAATGGATGAAATACAGTTAATGATTTCAGTTGAATGGAGGTAGAAATTAAGTAAGTCATAAGATTTTATGCCGCTACATTTTCTTATCTAGACAGGCCAATTGTTAGGTATTTTATAAAAATTTAAACTTATGAAGCCAGGCCTGTTTGATTTTTAAAGGGTAATCATTTTTATGCTCTTTATAAATTTCTTTGTTTCTCTCATTAAGTCAGAAAAAGAGAAAACAAAGGAGAGGCAGAATAAATGTAGGGGACTCAGTAAAATGAGAAAAGAGAAAAAAGATGAACAGGAGGAGGAGGGGGACAATGTGGATGGGAAGGCGTGAAACATACATTATTATATCCCGCAGGAAGAAACCTAGTATGGGTAAAGTTGGAACACTTTTAAAACTATAGTAAAAAATATCTGAAGCCAATTTATACTGAAGAGTTGTGTGTCTTTGTATGTATAAACCAAAAAATGACACAACACACGACTGCTTTGCGTACTTACCAGTTTGTATGGTGCTAAGTAGCCAAGCAAAGTTGAGCCGAGATAAAATTTGCAGGTTTTATCTGTGATCATCTGAGTCCTACGGACAAGCTCTTCTTGGGCTTTCATTCCTCACTTGCTGTGGTTCAGCCTTCTACCCCTACACCCTCTAGGACTCTCTCCCTTCCTTTCTTACCAAAGAAATCACTTGCTAAACAGTTATATGTACACTTAATTAAGTGGTTAAACTATAATTGAAATCTATTACACTATAGCCATACATTTGCACTTTAATATCTAGTTACAATATAAAGGCTTTTTCCAAGGATAAAATAATTTTCAGTGTAGTAAATTGATACCTTGTTTTCCTGTAAATATTTTAGAACTTAATTCCTTTTTCTTTAAAAGTGAAAACAGAAATAATTATTAGAATTTTGATTTTGATTATATCTGTAGGTAAATTTAAGGAAGAATTAACATCTTGAAATAGTAAGATTTAAAAATGAACCTCATTTTTTTGCTGTTGATGTAAAAACTTCTACAATTATTTTCATGTTTCAAAGGGGTGATCTTTACAGCTCTATTACAATTATGCCTGTCAACCTCCTTCCTCCAGGGCTTTCCATCCCACGCATTTAGTGTCCGTCTCATCTGTATAGTCTCTGACCACACCTCCAGGGCCTGTGGCTGGCCTGGCAGGAAGCCTTCGGCTGCCACACTTCTGGACCATCCCTCTCACTCTGAGGTCCAGCTCGCGGTGGCTGCCCCAGTCGGTGACAGGACAGGCGCAGCTGTGGCCAGTGCAGGGCCTTTCTAACAGACACTCTGCTCCAGGGCTCCTCATTACTCTGCCTCAGAATTTCTCAGCAGCACAGTGAAGTCTGAGTCTTCCTACCCAATCTCACTTCCTTTCCTCTCATGGGTGCCAGACAGCCCTGTGGTATGTCTGAAGTCTTTTCTACCTACTCACCCTCTCTTCTCTTTGTCAGGCACAAAGGCTTCCTCCAACCCCTTGTGCTTTTATTTTTGGTTTATTCTCAAGTGATACGAACTGAGAAAAAGGAGCTACCTTTATTACTTTAAAGAAGTTCCTATCTGTTACCAATTTATTAATATTCTGTAAGTCATGAGAAGGTGAGAGAGAAAGGGATCAAACCACATAAGAGGAAGGATTAGCTTTCAGTAGGAGAAAGAGAAAAGGCAAAGGGTATGCATTCAAGTACATTTGAAGGTGTAGAGGTGGGATTTCTGATAAATTTAGAATAGAGGTAGGAAATAGTCACAAAGGTAATCCATACTTGCAAGTCTGCTGCTGGCTTAAGCTGAGGGGGGGAGAGAGAATTTGAGATGGATAACATTTCTGTGATTCTGGTGATTACAGCAGACTGACTTATGGCTCTATGATTATTAGGCTGAACTGAACGTTAGTAACAAAAAGGCAAAGTCTTCACTGTCTAAGAAAGAAGATAAAACTTAAGACTCATCTCAGGACTTACCCAGAGGGAAAAGAATGAATCTAAGGTAAGTTCGATAAAGACCTCTGAGAAAAGTTATTTTATATAATATTTGACTGAACTTTGCTCCTCCCATGAAGAGTTAAATATCAGAGACAGTGTTAGTTCAATTTTACAGAGTTGCTGTGATATTTAATGCATTTACTAAACAGCCAAGTATTAAATCATGAAAGAACAGAAGCAATTCTTTGGTTAGTATGGTAGAAATTTTAGAGAGTGAGTAGATGCCAAGTAGGACTATACCGAAAGAGGCCAAGCCCACGCTTTGTGTATACCAGGTGTGTTCTGTTGGTGTGTGCTGTGCTTGTCTCTGACTCACTGGGTGCACAGTGCCTCTGTGTCTGGGTAGCCTGAGGTGGGTCCTAGAGGTCCTCAAGGTCTTAAAACATCACCTCCCAGTGCCCACAGTGGAAGCTTATGGAAGGTAAAGGAGTAATTCCCAACCTCCAACTCAGAGTGGGCCTTGGTTTTCTAGTAATGAAGTCAAAACAATCTCATTCTCCTTGCTTTTGCCCTGAGAGAATCGGTTCACAGTGCTCCACAGGGGTCAAAACAACTTGAAGATGTTTAGGTTGGAAGCCTCCCATTTTGAGGTAGTGATTTATGACCAGAAATCCAAAACTGGTGAAACCACTTCCATTCCAAGAAGAAAGCTTGGAACCCATATGAACATTTGCTTCTCCCAGACTGAGCCCACTTCTACAGGTACAGGAAGGGCTCTCTGGTAAGAAGGGCCATCAATGCCCTATGCTGATGAGAAAAGTTCTTCCCTTCAGAAAAGCCACATCTTTCAAAACTATATGATTATGGTAGGAGCAATTCTCAGTCATGATTTTTTGATATACTGAGATTTATAAGTTGCTTCTATTCCATATATAAGTTTTGCATGACTATGATATAGAGGTTACTTTGCATACTTTAGAGTGGAAGTCAGTGTTCTTTTATGAATTAAAGCTTTTACGGTGAGACTACTTACTGGCATCCACTTCGGTTACCATGATGGGTTTGGAGAACTGAATTCGGAATCCCCAGGGACAGTCTCCAGTTCCTTTGAATAATCTCACAGTTCGTTCACGAACTACAATGAAGACAAAGAGGGCATTGCTTTCACTTAATTTCTAGATGCTTTAAAGTAAGTATATTTTAAGAGCTATTATTGATTGTTTCTTATATGCTAGATGTAATAAAAGCATAAGTAATACTAAATAAGTGGGAAATAATTTAATGTTTATGATAGCCCATTGTTTGAAGGAAGGGCAAACTGAGGCACAAAAGGCAAACAACTTGCTTGAGTCCCATGATGAGTGAGAGATATCACTTTTCACTATTAGAACACCTACGGCTTCACTCTTTTTTTTTTTTTTTTTGGAGGAACCGGGGATTGAACTCAGGCCCTTGAGCTTGCCAGGGAAGCACTTATTCCACTGAGCCATCTCCCCAGCCCACAGGGCTTCACTCTTCACCATGGCATCACAGCTCCACTGAGGCAGCACTGGACCTTACCAAACTGAGTCACTTAGTTCCACAGGTAAGTGACATTTAAGGTAAGATTCCACGTAGAAGTCAGAGAACTGAATCCTCACCCATACATTTAGATCTGATAAGAACCCCCCAAAAAGCTGAATCACTAAGCTTTTCAGAACACAGAAACAGTTAAGTCTTGGAGAAAACATGAACTCTTGGGTCAGTGATGGCAAATCTTTCAGAGATCAAGTGCCCAAACTGTAACTCAAAACCCACTTATTTATTGCAAAATGCCAACACTGTAGTGACCCTTCAATATTGAAGTTTTAGTCTAAAAACAACTCATACATTAACACTTTTTGTCTTAAAGACAAACATAACAGCATGCCTTTACTTCTTATATTTTGTTTTTATACTTTTCTGCTGGATGTTTAAGACCAAGGTAAAGCAGGACCTATACAACAAGAGTTGTAGCTTTTGGGTCTGATAAGGTCAGTGAAATGCCCTCAGGATTTATCCTGAGATCCTGTACCTCAGATTGTAGAACCTTTGTCAGTACAGCCATGTGGATGAGTCATGGCCATTGCTTGGCCAATGTGCTCTCTGTGAAAGCCTGAGAAAATGTTTTCTCTTCATGTGATTCTCCTTAGGCACACTCTACATCATCGATCACTTTCCTCTTTGGCCCCATAATCTCCTTGATCAGAAAAATTGGGACACTACTGCTATTTGTTTCTCAATAAATTTATGGAAAAAAAAGACAAACACAAAAACAAAGCTTTTAATGATAAAAGCAGCTTTTTACTGAAAGGTGAAGAAAGTTTGCATTTGCTGGGTTTTGCAGTTGTGTGCATGCTAATAGTTTGATATGCCTTGGTTAGGGTGACTTGACCAGAGTGCTGACAGAGAGGGCCCAGCATGGGGCTGCAGCATGTGGCCCACAGGCTCACCAATCTTAGTTCTGCAGGACCAAAGCTCTGGAGAGTTCCAAGGACTTCACCATAAGAATTCATAATTTTTAACTCTAGTCTAAGTATCCTTATTTAGTGTAGCTCAGTTTCCTCCTTTTTTTTCTTCTTCTTCTTGCCACTTTGCTATCTTCTTTTCTGGACAGACATGCATAGGTGTGTGTGTGTGTGTAGGTGTTTCTCCCTCACAACTTTTTCATTAATGTGTTTGGTTTGCTGATAACCTGAGCTCATTCATGAACCCTCTTGAGTTCATCTTTATGTTTAACTTCTGTTTCCAGTACCGAGTGCATTTTCTAATTTACATTCCGGAAGGAGGGAACCTCAAAGGCAAAAATCTCTATTAAGAGCTCTTTTATCCTGTTGCCTTTTAGGACTTGAAGGTAGAGGACTGAAAGACTGTTCCCCTGTCTTATGGAAGGGCATTTTCCATAGAGAGAGATGAAAACATGGTGAGTACATTTTTTATGACACGATGGAATTTAGTTTCTTGTTTAGAAAAATATATAACTTGAATCATGCCTGGGTACATAACTGAAATAAAACACTGTAAGAGGAAAACTGATCTCAGAAGGTTCATTTTTAAATGCTAATAAAGGTGTCCAGTGAAAAATTATAACACTGGGCTTTAAAATAATGTATCTTTTATTATATTTAGGGTCAAGTCCACCAGGAAGAAGTACTAACATGATATTGAGAGAATTACTCATCCCCAGTGATTAGATTGACATAATTTACTTGTTGAATTTTTCCTCTATATGTTAATGAATATCTAAAAATAAGAAAGAATAAATGATAATGAAGTGTAGTGGTAAGGTCTCTGAGCTCCAGAAGTGAATGGTTAATAGTAGCCTATTATTAGGTTCCTGGGAAAAAGCTAGGTAATTAATTATAAAATAAGAATGCTGATTTATTAATAAGGACAACTTAACACCTTAAAATTAAAATTTAATAGAGCTCCTTTCCTTTAAAAATAGAAATACATTAGAATTTATGGTTGATGTATTTTGATCATTTGTTCCAGTTATTCTTTTATATTTTTATATGTCACTTTTCATTTCTCAGAGAGATTTACATCTCCCTGCAGGTTGAAAAGCAAGAACATTTCTTACTTGTTAGGTTGTTTTCTTTGCTGTTGCAGAATGCCTAAGTGTAGGAAAAATGTGGACAGAACTAAAATCATACAAGAGGTTAGAGAAACTCTTGAGAATTTCAAGCAAGGGACAGCAATTTTATTTAGAGTGCAAAAAGACCTTATCTTAGTCATCCATTTCAGTCACCACTAATAAGTGGATTTTGGTGAGCATGTCCCTGATGTTTAGGGAATATTGCTATTGTAAATTTATATTACTTTGTAAGGATTGTAAGATGATTCACCATTTATTTTATTAAACATTCTCTCAGGTATTCTCCAGTAAACTAGTGTTTCAAAACTATGATTCCTATAAAAAATAACAATGGTGAAAAGCTTAGCAATTTCCCAAGCACATGCAGATGTGCCCATCTCCTTGGTCAAATGAGGAACGAAACCAAGGAAACACACATCTGTCCTTGACATGTTCATTGTGCTCTGACAGAGTCATTCACTCCCAAGTATTTATTGGGTAAACATTGTGTTTTCAAGGATTTTTATATATACCAGGAATGTAGTGGAAAAGACAGACCGCAGATGAGTTTTCTCCTGGAGACTATGTGCTGGATACTGTCTGCCAAAACTGACATACTATCAAAGAAAGGAGGGCTAAAGTCCTTCAGGTGGACTCTGGAAGAAAAGTTTGTCTTTACCAAATATCTGAAAAAATGCATTAGTTTTCTTTTGTCATCGAGTGAAGTTTACTTAAGCTGCTGAGAAGTGTTAGTGTATTACAACTACAGAATTCCATCCTTTGTGCTGTCCTATGCCTCGGGGGAAAATGCTGATATTTGTTAATAAAATTCTGTTCTGTGTTTGGCTGCCACTTCTTGGATCCTAGAAGAATTTAAGGAACTGAGAAATTCAAACACTTAGGAATTATTATTTCATCAGCATGCATAAGGTTCTTGTTGACTAATCAGGGCAAGAAGAAAATCAAGAATGCTATTTTTGACCCCTGTGAAAATCATTTCTAACAGCTGCACTTGTCAAGACTTCGCGCTCCTTCTAGGTCTGTCTCTTGATCGGAGCTCCTTCTTTTGACAGATCGATTACCCAGCAGAAATTTGTTTAATGGAGTATTTTTACTGTGCTGGTTCAGATCAAATTATGTTGGTAGCTTTGTTTCCATATTTCATGAGGCTTAAGGTGGGTACTGCCTTTAAGGCCGTGTTTCTTTGCTTTTGGTTTTGCAATCAGGCAAATTGATTGTCAACAATGTGTATGAAAGAATAAGCAATTCAATAAAGCCTTTAAATGGTGAGCTGAACTGCAGAGCCTTCCTGTGGGAGAAGAGACAATCAAAATGTTTTGTAACACATTCCCCTCCCACTCTGCAGACAATTTTCTTACACTTTAAGATTTATAGTGCTAGTTCCCTTGCCACTGTCTAGTGGATAATCCATACATGCCACACAGCCGTGGGGAAGTCACAACTGAATATCATTGTTGCATAGGTTATGTGGACACACCATCAAGTAATTTATCCCCTCAGATGACACTTCCTGAGAATCACGTTGTTGGATGTAAAAATTCAAACAAAGGGCATATATTTCTACAAATATAACACAACTCATACACTGAGCATAGCCTAACATTTCCATGCAGCTCCAGAATACAAGCGATACAAGGCTTTGTTTATTTCTCCAGCATTTAAGATAGTAAGATCCTTATTTGTTAGACCTTGAGATCCTGCCTTCCCTTTCCTTGTATTGTATCTTTCTATTTGTATTTCTTCTTTAGAGTTCTT